GTAAGGTTGAGAGAAATCCTTTACAGAAGTTAGTAAGCAAGATAGATTCTTTTCTTTTGAGAGCTCAAGTGAGGTGTAACCTTTGTGTGTAATTATATTTGTTCTTGAAAGTTAATAAAATCCTCTATCCATCTCTCTCTCTCTCTCTACCTCTATCTCTCTCCCTCTCTTTCTCTCTTGTTCGCCCGAAGATATAGGTTACCTTGACCGAACCACGTTAAATATTGTGTTCACTTGATTACCTTTTCAGAAGTTTTATTTACACAAAGTCACCGAATTTTGTTTTGATTTTTTTCTAAAGTGCTTAACTTGTTTTGTTGTCACCCAACAAACTGATATCAGAGATATTGCAAGATGGGTAAGTTAAAATTGACAAATTCAATGGAAACGCTTTCGGTTTCTTGAAAATTCAAATTGAAGACTACCTCTACCAAAAAAAACTTACATGAACCATTGTCCCCAAGTAAACCTAAAGAAATGAAGCAGGAGGATTATGAATTATTAGATCGGAAGGCACTTGGTATGGTAAGATTATCCTTGGCATAGAATGTAGCATACAACATTGCCAATGTGAAGACTACTCAAGAGTTGATCAAATCACCATCTAACATGTATGAAAAACCTTCAGCAGCGAACAAGGTTCAGTTGATTTGACAATTGGTAAATCTGAAGAAGAAGGAGGGTGGCTCAGCGACTAACCATGTTAATGAACTTAATTCAATGCAGTCAAGGTTGATGTTGTTTGATATTAAATTTGAAGATGAACTCATGGCATTGCTATTATTATCATCTTTTCCTGATAGTTGGTTTGGTACAGTGACAACAATTTACTGCTCAGCTAGGGGTGCTAAGCTAACATTCGAAGGCATTCGTGATGTAATCCTTAGTGAGGATGTACTCAAATGAAGTGTTGTAGAAGCTTCCAATAGTGTTTTCTGAGTACTGAAGATAGAGGAAGGGGGTCTAATAAAGGATGTCGGGGTAGTGGATGACCAAAGTCGAGGAGGAGAAATGGACAGAACAACAGGAGGGACGTAACTTGTTGCAACTGAAAAGAGAGTGGTCATGTCAAAAGTAATTGCCTAATGCTCATAGTAGATAAAGGTCACAAGGAGATTAATATGGCAGAAGATTTTGAAGGTGACACACTTTTTTGTTTAGTTGAAAATTCAATAGAACCCTAGGTCTTGGATTCTAGTGCGTCATTTCACGCTAATCATTCCAAAGATGTGATGCAGAACTTCAGGCATTACCAAGGGAAGGTCAAGCTGGCAGATAAGAAGTGTCTAGATATCATGGGTGTCAGAGATGTGGTTCTCAAGACGACTCTGGGTAGGGATTGGACTTTAAAGAATGTCAAGTTCGTTCCAGATCTGAAGAAGATGTTGAAATCAGTTGGACAACTCAATAATGAAGGTCACCATGTTACATTTGGTGATCACAAATGGAGACTGAAGAAGGGAAACTTGATCATTGCTAAGGGCCAGAAACATGGTAGACTATACATGGTGGAAATTTCTAATGATGAGGCACATGTTGTTGAAGAAGTTGGGGCATCCACTCTATGCCACAAAAGATTTGTTCATAAGAGTAAGGAAGGAACGTGGAAGCCTGTATCCAGTGGGAGGATGCCATATTCGAAGAATGTGATAGATACTTATAAACGATGTTCTATTAGTAGACAGAAGAAAGTCCGTTTTGTGAAAATAGGAAATCTGCTTAAGTTTGGGAAGTCGGGTTTAGCTTATTCTGGTGTTTATAGTCCAACTGTAGATTATCCAGTGGGTGTATCCCAGAATCATGCAAAACCTATCTTTGGTTAAAGGATATGCATATGTTCAAGAAGAAGTGGGAGCTCTGATAAACCTGGAAATAATGGGAGTTCTGGTGATAATGATTATAAGGGTGGAGTTGTAGGTGTTTCAAAGATCAAACCACATATTATCCAGAGGATCACGAAGCAACGTACTCCAGTGGGGTATTCTCCATCAACCAATGGCACATTGATGTGTGAGAATGGTTGAAAACCAGAGGCCTTGAGGATGAACTCCATAAAGTGGGAGAAGGCTATAGATGACAAGTAACCAAACTGCAGAATAGTAAGATGTTTCAAGTTAAGGATGAGATAGATAGCGGTAAAACTTGCAATGGAAGGTTGGTGGTCAAGGGAATACAACAGAAGGGACAGGACGATTCTCCAGTTGTGAAGATGACTACAATTACTTCTATGTTGAATGTAGTGGTCTCTGAAAAATCACCATCTAGAGCACCTATATATGAATTCAATTGATCCCCTTTACGATAACTTGGAAGGAGACATCTTGAAGGAACAACCAGAAAGTGCTCTTAAAGTTGGTAAGAAAAAGATGGTGTTCAAGACAATGAACCAAGGGGCTACTAAGCTGAAGAAAGTCCTTAGTATGGAGAATTTAGCAGTTGAATGTACTAAGGTGTTTACCACTAGAAAGCTGAAGCTAAGCATGGCTTCAACTGCCCTTCCAAGATTTTGAGGATGTGGGTTGGCATAAAGAGAGAGAGACATAGAGAGACAGATGAAGAGAATGGTGAAGACTTTGAATAACAGATGAAATTGTTCAATCCTTCAAGTGGGAGATTGTTGAAGTGTGAAGGCTTGTCCAACATGGAGCACTTAGAATCAAGTGGAACACTTGGATGAAGCATTTTCAGTTCATGTGGAGCACTTAGAACTCAATGGATCCCTTGAGGTTCATAGAGCATTTAAAGAAGGAATCGATCATCTGAGAAAGGAATTGATTATCTACCACAGGAATGGATCAAACGATAAATGAACAGATCATACAAAATGGGGTTTGGAGCACCTGGAAGAGGTTTAGAGCACTTGGTATTGATATGGAGCAAGAAGGGGACCTTGTTGCTCCATCTGCTAAATACTTGGGCCAAGAAGGATGTTGTTGCGCCAAGGGCACTCCTTCTTGCGCTAAGATACTCCCTCTTGCTCCATGGTGTATCCCTTTTGCACCATGAGGTACTCCTTTTGTGCCATGGAGTATGTTGTTGCGCTAAGCATGAACTTATTGTACCATGTATGTTATTGTTGTGCCAAGATGGTGTGTTGCTCCAACCTAGATGCTCTTGTTCCACGCTTGATGCCTATTGTGCCATCCATATTCCTGTTGTGCCATGATGGCATACGATGGACTATCTTGGTCTTTGATGATCCAAGTATGCTACAAAGTCCTTAATGATGCTCAAGATCATTCAAAGATTCTCAGAAGTTGGTATTGCTCAAGATATACACCATATGGTGCCACCATGGTGGATGTTAGGCAATTAGAGTTTTTGATGCGCCACTTGTACATCATGATGCTCCACTATGAAAGAAGGTGCTCCATGATGTGTGTTGCTGATACTCATAAGTTGTATGAAATGGAAGAATGTTCGAGAGGATGTTTCATGGTAGAATATGATTGGTTGTCACCATTCATGGGCCTATGGGCCAATGAGCTTGGCCCATTAGTGTTTTAGGTCTGATTCCTCAAGTATAAATAGACTCATATCTCTATCATTGTATGTGTGTAGAAATTTCAAGAGAGTAATCACTTTGAGGTTGAGAGAACTCCTTTGGAGTAGTTAGTAAGCAAAAAAGATTCTTTTGTTTTGAGAGCTCAAGTGAGGTGTAACCTTTGTGTGTGATTGTATTTTTTCAGAAGTTTTATTTCTGCAAGGTCATCGAAGTTTGTTTTGATTTTTTTCTGGTGTGCATAACTTGTTTTATTGTCACCCAACACTTAATAATATATCATGTTATGTCATGTTGTATTGTATTGTTTTTGCGTGTAGTTTCATATTCATGTATTGGAGTCCACATAAGAAAACATCAATTCACTTATAATGGGGCTAGTGTATCTTATAAATATTCTTATTAGGCAAGTATTTAGTTTCATAGTTTATGTTTTGAGTGTTACTAATACAACATTTAGACTTATTAAACATTTTAGAAGACTTGTATATTAAATATTGTTATTGTTATTAGACAAATTAAATTTTATTTTAAGTAATGATATTATGTTTCTATTGATTATCTTCATTATCACTTTAGTATTTTGAATGTGTTTTTTTCTAATAAAAAAATATGTTACTAAACGTAGGTAAGTATGTTTTATTTTAGCAACTATATAATGGCACAAAATAAGTGTCACTAAAATTCAAAAACATTTTAGTGCAATAACCAAAACCTGAATTAGATCCCCAAAAGGTTGCAACGATGTAAACTAAAAGTGTCATTAAAAGATGTATAGTGACAATTAGCGACATTTTTATTTTGTGCCACTGATTACCTAATGAGTGTTTAGCAGCAGTTTGCTGTGCCACTAAATGTGCCAAAGCTTATTATTATTATTATTATTATTATTATTATTATGATAAAGTTAATAATAAAAAATGAAAGAAAATTAGAAAGGGAATTATAGTATTTTGACATTTGTCACTGAGAAGAATCATAAAAAAAATATCACAGGCGCATGAAATAAAAGAAGATAAGAGCGAGAAGTGAAATTTTTACCACACCAGAGCACGATTTCAAAACATTATTCTAGATGAAACAAAATAAACTTAGTGTTAAAACCTACTAGGAAATTTTGAGATAGCTACCGAAACAATGCAAAATGGAATTTTCTAATATATATCCTAAAGATACGTATAAGAAACAAAATTTTACAATAATTAAATGTAGAATACATTATTTATAAGGAATATTATCATAATTAAATGTTAAATGTTAAATGCATTAATAATCTTCATAATAAATGAATTTTGAATTTAATTATCACAATATTTTTAATAATTAATATTTCTTATATATACTCGAAAGGGTATTAATTCCATGTAAAATTTGGTCACTGTTTCGTGAGATTATTACAACAATTTATGGTATCTTGTGGAGCATGGCAGTCTTCGATCATGCTATGAAAATAGGTTTTTTTTTTCTTCTTTTTTTTTTTAATGATGGAAATACTAACCTGAATATCCGATGCTTTCTCAATCTCGCGAATGATCCTTTCCATCGTAGGGCGCTTCTTTGAATCCAAATTAACACACTCGTGTGCAATTCCGTTAAACGTATGAAAAGATCTCATATTAATATCATCTCTCATAATAGGATCAATTAACTTGTCGAGCCCATGGACTTCTTCATCGTCATAATAGCTTCGTACTAGGTCCAATAGATATTGTTCCTTTCCATCTCCAAAGCACTTTGTACGATAAGCTAGCATGCCACTTGACATTTCAAAGAGTACAACTCCAAATGAGTACACGTCTGATTCTTTCGAGAGCCTACCCCTTTCATTGTAAAGAGGATCTATGTAAAACCTTGTACCCGAAGCCTTTGTAATGAGTTGACTATGTGGCTGATTTCGTGGACCAAATCTTGACAAACCGAAATCAGAAATTTTGGCTTGGAGATGCTCATCTAACAGTATATTTGCACTTTTTACGTCTCTGTGAATTACTCTCCTGTTCTCCCCAAGACCAGAGTGAAGGTACTTGAGTCCTCTTGCTGCTCCTAAACAAATCCTCATGCGTTGTGCCCATGTTACATAACGCCACTTGTTCGGGTCTTCGAGAAGCCTGTCAAGGCTTCCATTGATAGCATACTCATACACAATGATCATTTCATTTTCATCATCACAATAACCAATAAAAGGGACGATGTTTGGATGGTTGAAACTGGATACCATTTTGAGTTCATTATGGAACTCATTGCTTCCTTGATAACCATTATGATCAAGGCGTTTGATGGCTACCTTGGCTTTATGCCAGTGTTTTGATAGTTGTCCTATGTAGACCATTCCAAATCCACCATCTCCAATCTTAGATTCTGAACTGAAGTTGTTTGTGGCTCGAATGATCTCCTCCAGTGGAATTTGATACTTTTCTAGGTTTACCCCTGAAGAGGACATTGATTTTTGATATTGGTGATTATGTATGGTTATGGCAGAAGCAGCTTACGGAGTTTCCTTCAAAGCGCCATCCTGTATGAATTATAAACATTGACAATAATCAAGTACTTGTTGGAACACCAAAAATTGTTCATATCTCTAGCAACCATGTGAGTAACCTGCTTCGTACAACTTCTAACACATTCTTATTTCAGGTACCAAATTTCAACAGCGCTTGCGCTAATCAACAAGAACGGATCGACCATACAGCTGTAAGTTAGCAATAGAATAGTACTATTAACCTCTCTAATTAATCGATTATAGGGACAGAAAACATTACAGGCCAGGGAACCGGCATTGAGCCATGAATACTTTTGCTCTTCTTGTTTCTCGCTTATATTCTCTGGACTTTTTCCAAATAACATTCAATAATGAATGGCTTAAAATAACAGAAATCAATCTTTTAGATATTTTTGGAGAATTTACACTTTCAGCCCTTCCCTGTCCATTATTTCCTCAGATAGCGCCAAGGCTAAAAGCATGCAGCAGCTAGTTGACCTTATTATATCGTTTTCTTCAATGCTGACAACACGTAATGGTGTGCCACTTGTCAAGTGGGTTGTAAACGAGTTTTTCAAAGTTTTAATTTTTCAAATATTGCGACCTTAAAACGTCATCTCATCACTTTTGTAATTGTATTATTCCCATAAAACTCTGTCTCATCGAAGTCAATATATATATATATACGAGAGTACATTTATAACGGCTAAATACAAGTGGGCTAAGACCATCTCCAATGGATTAAATTCATAGAGAGTTTTATGGATTGCTACATTCATTTTAATTCTTAAAAAATTCATAAATTTTCAATTAGAATTCCATTCAATCATTCAATGGTCATTCAACTTCACACTCTCTTTCCTCTGTACTATATTCACATTTATTCCATTAAACTCTCGTACAACTCCCATTGTGGATGGCCTAAGAGCATTCATAACGGAGAGTTTAATGGAATAGATGAATGAGGTGTCATACAACGCGACCATTGTAAAATGTCACCTTTGCATTCAATGAATTTGGAGTTCAATGGTCATTGAACTCTTCAACAGGAAAAATGAAAGTCTTTAAATCTTTAAATAAATATTTTTTTAATATATTCCATTAAACTTGTAGAGTTTAATGCATTGTGAGATAAAAATGAATAGAATTATATGGAATAGTGAATGATGATGAGGCACTCCATTGAAATCTATTAAGTTAAATGCATTGTGGATGCCCTAATGACAATGGGCCACACTAAGCATACAAACATAAATAAATACAAATACCATGTACGTCTAACAACCCTCCGAAGTATGAACAAGACGTCTAGAGAAGACATTTTCCAGATGGTGCCTTGTTGAAAGACCTCAACTTTCGTATTTTTGAAAGACCCAAACTTTCATACTTCACAATATTATTACTCCAAAACATGCTACTTGCATATTCATAAAAGCAATATTTTACATTGATAAAGAGATTACAAACTACTGGATACAAACCGACTATTATAAAGTGTTATATATTACATAACTACCTAGGATATTGTAATTTATACAAATATAAATTGGAGTACAAAAGTACTATTACAAACTATTCTAAATCTTTCAATAGTATGTGATCATACTAGTTACTTATCACCTGCAATTGTTAAACATTAATAGGGTAAGCGGTGACGCTTAGTGAGTTCAATAATAGATACAATATAACGTTATGTCATATATATACTTCAATATGACAGAAGCAAAGAGGAACAACAAAGACTTATGTGAAATCATGTGACAAGCGTTCATATCAATCAAAGACTTTATTCAAAGATATATATTTTTTAATGCTTGATATACATCAATAAAACTTTGGCCCAAATGACATAGAAGACATACAATTTTTGATCAACATCTTGTTAGATTTCAGGCTTATAGTCCTGTCTAACCATTTGCTAATGCCATAGAATAGAAGTCATTCTCTAACGGAGACATGGTCTACATGGCCAGAGGCTACGTACCAGTACCAATGTGAATCTAAGTCCTTTCACTGATCACATGGTCAAAGGTATTACATTTGCTATAAACATAGCGAATAAAATAACACGGGAAAATAACCCGGAATAATATCACTGAAGAGCCCATAGCACATATAACACATAACATACAATTGTTCCTATATATTGAACTCACCTTAAATTAACCAGGGGTTAAAATAGTAATTTGGACAGCACTTCGGCTTTAAATATGACTTTCTATGTTGAAAACCGGGAGCTTAATTGAAAACTATGCTCTGCGAAGGTAGGGCTTCAAAACTGAAAATATAAAATTTTCGGGCTTCTCGGGGCATGTTTCGGATGCTAAAATTGATACCGGGGCTTCGTGGAAAGTCAAAATGAAGAAAATATGGAAAAAAGGGTGAAAAGTGTCAAAATTTCAAAGTTACCCGGGAAGGCTCGCAGCGTCCCTTTATATAGGGCCGAGGCTTCTGATCCGAGGGTTGAGAAGTGAACAACTGTAAGCAAATGCGAGGGCCAGCTAGGTCGGACGTGGCTCGGATGCGAGACTGGTAGGCGAGACGTGGCTCATGTCAGATTTGGCCATTGATGCGAGACGTGTCTAGTTCTTACTGGACCTCGGCCTCGGCGAATCAGAAGAAGACACGAAGCGGACTCTGCTGCAAGGCACATGTCGGATGCGTATTGGACCGATGCTCTAGGCGAACCGAACTGTGATGCGTGTTGGATACGAGGCAAAATCTTGCGAGGCTGGCACTATTCATGCGGAATTTCTCGAAAATTGAGCCCCGAACTTCTAAAATCCCTAACTTTCGCATACGAGCTCCGTTTTTGATGTTCTTTATATGCATGCGTAGCTAAAATTACGCTCTACAACTTTCGTTTAAACTTCGTCGGCTAATTTTGACTTTATTTTTAATATTATTATTTTTAACAGACTGGGACACGAAAATCCGTTAAAGATTTATAACTTCTTCATCCGACATCCGTTTTCGTCAGACTTTTTACCGTTGTACTACAAATGACGAAACCTTCGATTTTTGTTTAGGATGTGTCGGTCAAATATAGTTCCATCTAAAATTCGAGTTTTTAGCTGTCTACTGCTAATCCGAAACTTAGAAAAATCATAACTTTTTCATACAGAGTCAGATTTTGGCGTTCTTTTTATTGAATTTTTCGGTTTAACGAATACTACGACTTTCATTTAGATCAATAAGGATAAAAGGTAGTTTATCAAAAACTCACTTTTTATGTCATTCGACGCCATGTCGGTTTTATCGCGGATCTTCGATTGGTCATAACTTCTTCGTTATAACTCGGATTTCGACGAGGTTTTCGCCTACAAGTTTCCAACGGGATTATTTACAACTTTCAATAATAAAATTTTACTTATTTAAAATTTTATATTTTCGCTAAATTTCACTATTTGGCTTTTAATTGGAATCTCATAAGACTTCCAATATTTTTCTGAGTGATTCTAAACATAATTTTACTTCATTTCTAGTAAAAACCATCTTGTTAGAACTCAACACTCAATTTCGCATAGTATTTCACAAATTTTATTCATTACAAAACACGATTTCAAAACGTATATGTTACACTTGTTGTTTGGACTACACCTAGAAATGGTGCCTTGTCGTTTGCATGACCAAGAAAGTAGGTTCTTTCCGAGAAAAATACAGTTGCCAGATGTGGATCAATATGGTTGGGCAACCAACCCAATCAACAACATAAAAATAAGCAATAGTAAGAAATGAGGCTACGAGACAGAGAGAGATACATGTAACATCCTAATTTTTTAGAATGCATCTAAACCATTTATAAGAGAACCTCGAGGATTACATTCCATGAATAATTTGTAAAACAATTATCAGAGTGTAATAATAGATTTATTATAATAAAATATGGAAGTCTAGAACAATGTTACATCATCATAATATTATAATGGAGTAAAAAAATATTGCTAGTTAAGTATGCGAGAGCTCGTCGTCCTGTTGTATCCTCCCTGAAAAATGTTAATAAACAATGAGTAATCGGAAACGCCTAAGGAGCCCAGTGGGCACACAATGTCTACACAAACTGCTACACGGGGCACACAATTACATACATTTTAGATTGACATAATCCCCATTATACTTTTGCATTGATCATGAAATTGCTATGGTCACAACCATAGTCTTACATCTATCATGAAAATGTTATGGAAACAACCATAGTTTTACATCAATTTTAAAAATGATATGGACACAACTATAGTCTTACACTAAACATATTATTGTTATAGACACAACCATAATCTTAAATCAAACATATTAATATTATATACACAATCATAGTCTTACATCAAACATGCTAAGCTTACACACAAAAACACATGATATCATATATAGAAAAGTGAACACACCTGATTCGGCAGTTCAAAAAACAAAGCTACTATCATATGTATTCACGTTGCATTTCAGCATATAGATTGATAGATTTTGCTGGTTGGAACATTTGGGTTACTATGAACAACCGTCCACTTTTTCCATTTAGGTCCGATACTGAAATACTATTTCATTTTCCCAATAAAATTACAATATCATAATTTGCAAAAATAAAAATAAAAATGTTTGGTTTATTAATGAAATATATAAAATACCCTTTAATATAAAGACAACTATTCTCCTAATGTCGATTTACATTTTTTTTTTAAATCAGGTCAGACATTTTTTGGTATGCATCTGACCGAGTCAGGTCAGACATTTTTGGCTGACTCGGTCAGACGAAAGGTGTTTGATAGACAAAATCTTGACGTCTGACTCAGAAAGCAAGGTCTGACCGAGAAAGAAGTTGGGAGATGACTGACCCAGAAAGAAAGTGAGGGTTTCCAATAGTACCATTGGCTTGGATAAAAATCATAGCTAATGAAGGTTACGAGATTAGAACTTAGGTCTCCCTTGTAAAAGGGATGGTGTTTACCAACAAGCTAAATGGGTTT